AAGGTTCTATATTTTTAGCCGGAGGTTTGGCTTCGTTTTCGCAATGGTCCTATATTTCTAGCCGGAGTTGTGCTTGAGTTTCGGCAATGGTCCCATATTTCTAGCCGGAGTTGTGCTTCAGTTTCGGCAATGGTCCTATATTTCTAGCCGGAGTTGTGCTTCAGTTTCGGCAATGGTCCTATATTTCTAGCCGGAGTTGTGCTTCAGTTTCAGCAATGGTCCCATATTTCTAGCCGGAGTTGTGCTTCAGTTTCGGCAATGGTCCTATATTTCTAGCCGGAGTTGTGCTTCAGTTTAGGCAATGGTCCTATATTTCTAGCCGGAGTTGTGCTTCAGTTTCGGCAATGGTCCCATATTTCTAGCCGGAGTTGTGCTTGAGTTTCGGCAATGGTCCTATATTTCTAGCCGGAGTTGTGCTTGAGTTTCGGCAATGGTCCCATATTTCTAGCCGGAGTTGTGCTTCAGTTTCGGCAATGGTCCTATATTTCTAGCCGGAGTTGTGCTTGAGTTTCGGCAATGGTCCCATATTTCTAGCCGGAGTTGTGCTTCAGTTTCAGCTGAAGCCACTGCTGTGTTTGTAATATGCAAACAGCGCTGGGCCCGGTATTGTCCCGGTCGAATAGTATTAGTGCCGGGTGCCCGGTATTGTCCCGGTCGAATAGTGTTGGTGCCGGGTGCCCGGTATTGTGCCGGTCGAATAGTATTAGTGCCGGGTGCCCGGTATTGTCCCGGTCGAATAGTGTTAGTGCCGGGTGCCCGGTATTGTGCCGGTCGAATAGTATTAGTGCCGGGTGCCCGGTATTGTCCCGGTCGAATAGTATTAGTGCCGGGTGCCCGGTATTGTGCCGGTCGAATAGTGTTAGTGCCGGGTGCCCGGTATTGTGCCGGTCGAATAGTATTAGTGCCGGGTGCCCGGTATTGTCCCGGTCGAATAGTATTAGTGCCGGGTGCCCGGTATTGTGCCGATCGAATAGTATTAGTGCCGGGTGCCCGGTATTGTCCCGGTCGAATAGTATTAGTGCCGGGTGCCCGGTATTGTCCCGGTGTTTTCGGCTCGCACACACCGGAATACGTTGAAAAGTTTCGGTGTCCGGTATATGTGCCTGTCAACGGTACAGTGCCAGTCAAACTCTGGACACGAGTGTCCACTCCAATACTAAACAAACCTGTATGTTCTGAATAGTGCCGGTAAAATCTCTTCGAGTTTCCACTACCATACTAAAATCTGTATGCTCTGAATGGTGCCGGTAAAATCTCTGGACACGAGTGTCCACTCCCATACTAAAACCGGTATGTTCTGAATAGTGCCGGTAAAATCTCTTCGAGTTTCCACTACTGTACCATACTAAAATCTGTATGCTCTGAATGGTGCCGGTCAAATCTCTGGACACGAGTGTCCACCCCAATACTAGAACCTGTTTGTTCTGAATAGTGCCGGTAAAATCTCTGCGAGTTTCCACTACCATACTAAAATCTGTATGCTCTGAATAGTGCCGGTAAAATCTCTGGACACGAGTGTCCACTCCAATACTAAAACCTGTTTGTTCTGAATAGTGCCGGTAAAATCTCTGCGAGTTTCCACTACCATACTAAAAACTATATGCTCTGAATAGTGCCGGTCAAATCTCTGGACACGAGTGTCCACTCCAATACTAAAACCTGTTTGTTCTGAATAGTGCCGGTAAAATCTCTTCGAGTTTCCACTACCATACTAAAAAATATATGCTCTGAATAGTGCCGGTAAAATCTCTGGACACGAGTGTCCACTCCCATACTAAAACCTGTATGTTGTGAATAGTGCCGGTAAAATCTCTGCGAGTTTCCACTACCATACTAAAATCTGTATGCTCTGAATAGTGCCGGTAAAATCTCTGGACACGAGTGTCCACTCCCATACTAAAACCTGTATGTTGTGAATAGTGCCGGTCAAATCTCTGGGCGCGAGTGTCCACTCCCATACTAAAACCTATATGTTCTGAATCGTGCCTGTCGAATCTCTGGACAAGCACCGGCACCATACAGGGCCCAGTACTGCACTTGCTGGTTGAGTGCACACCGAACGAGAAAAGAGGTGCAGATTACGTTGTAACCGCCAATCCCAAGCCTGACCCCGTCTGGGAGACACGGAACTTGTCAGGGGCGACCCGATAGCGGTCGAAATCGACCCACCCACACCCCCCGTCCCCCCGCGCGCACGGGTATTATTATCCCACGTCACAGGCGTTCTCTGCTTGCGTGTTTGTGTCTGCAGGCTATTATTTGGCGATGAGCTACTGCTGCAGCAACGTGTGAAACAACAACAATCACAGCAATGTACGCAACAGCAACGTGCCTCCATTTTCCAACCCCGAACCAGCACGTGTTCCTCCGCGTTTTCAAACTCTGATCTGCAACCCTCCAACACTCCCCGAAACTGCTCCCCCAAATGCACAGAGCACTTCGAAGGAGCATCTGGACATGCTGAGAATATTTCTGCCTTTCCGAACCCTCGACTCAGTACGTATTCCGCCACGTCCATGAACTCTTCGTGCATACCGTACAGTAGTCCTCTAACCCTCCCCGAAACTTCTACACAGAGCACCGCGAAGGATTTTCTGGGACCAGATCTGCCTTTCTCGAACCCTCGAACTACCAAACACGTATTCCACCGCGTTTTAAAACTCTCATACATATTATTTCCCCGAAACTTCTGCACAGAGCACGGCGAAGGAGCTTCTGGGAACATGTCTGCCTTTTCGAGCCCTCGAATTACTTTTAGTACCTATTCCGCCGCGTTTTTGACCTCTTCGTGCATAGCGTAGTCCCCGAAACTTCTGCACAGAGCACCTAGAAGGATTTTCTGGGAACAGATCTGCCTTTCTCGAACCCTCGAACTACCAAATACGTTTTCCACCGCGTTTTTTGAACTCCTATACATATTATAGTCCTCAAACACTCCCGGACAATGCTCCCCGAAACTTCTGCACAGAGCACGGCGAAGGACCTTCGGGGAACATATCTGCCCTTTCGAGCCCTCGAACTATTACAGTACCCATTCCACCGCGTTTGTGAACTCTTCATTGATACCCTAGTCCTCCCCGAAACTGCCGTGCACAGAGCATCGCGAAGGAGCTTCTGGACATGCTGAGAATATTTCTGTCTTTTCGAACCCTCGACTCAGTACGTATTCCGCCGCGTTTTTGAACTCTTCGTGCTTAGCGTAGTCCTCTAACACTCCCCGAAACTGCTGTGCGCAGAGCACCGCGAAGGAGCTGCTGGACAAGCTGGGGGGCGCCTTGACCTTTCACGCTGAGAGGAAGTCGTCCGCTCAGGGAACCATGGCAGCAACGTGAGACAAATGATGGCTGGAACAACAGCCATGCAGAAAGGGCATTTACCGCATTCATTAGAGAGAGGTGCATTAGAGAGAGGCGTCGCCCCCCCCCCCCCCACCCC